ATCCAAGGAACTGGTCCTGTCCTTTCCTCCCCTGGAATGAACCAGACTATCTTCCCTACCCCAGACACTGTTTGACCCTTACTGATTTAGCGCTTCCCCGTGAATTTAGAAGCAGTAACTTGCATTAGAGATCCCAATAACCTTAGGTTAAAGTCACACTGAAATATATTTATACAATTTATATTTAGAGAGAGGTGCTAAGAATTTGACCCGATGAGAATCTTTGTTTCTGTTCCTCTTACTAAGAACCATTAGCAGTCATTAGGGCTATTAATTAACGGGCATAATTAGGCACAAATGCCAGCACAGACGACGAAACTTATGGAGAGCAACCTCAGTTCCATGGCTCAAGAGCCCTTCACGCCACACGGCTTGAAAATATGGTCAGTATTAGTGCTTGGAGGTGATCAATATTAGTACATGGAGGTGATCAATATTAGTACATGGAGGTGATCAATATTAGTACCTGGAGGTGATCAATATTAGTACATGGAGGTGATCAATATTAGTATTTGGAGGTGATCAATATTAGTACATGGAGGTGATCAATATTAGTACTTGGAGGTGATCAATATTAGTACTTGGAGGCGATCAATATTAGTACTTGGAGGTGATCAATACTAGTACTTGATCAATACTAGTACTTGGCGATCAGTATTAGTACTTGGAAGTGATCAATTTTAGTACATGGTGGTGATCAATTTAGTACTCAGAGGTGAAGAATTTAGTACTTGGAGGTAATCAATTTTAGTACTACTACTACTTGGAAGTGATCAATTTTTGTACTTGGTGATCAATTTTGTTTTTCCAAAAGAGAAACAAATTGGTACTCTGGCAGCGGCGGATCTTTCAAGAGTCTCAGGTACACGATGCTGGAGTCTGAAACGTTTTTAATAAACAAAATATAACGTATGAACAATGCGCTGCTACCTGACTCTCCACTCGAGGTTCCTAGTGAAAACAAAAGCTGGGTGTGTGTCCCTGTTATAGTTCATCATACAAGAACATAACGGCAACAAAAGCTGGCGTAGTGTGTCATAGTCCATCACAGAGGAATATAATGCCAACAAAAGCTTGCTGTATGATCATAGTAATAGTCCATCAAAGCTGTCTGCCACTAATTGATCTAGCAAGGTTTTACAAACCAGTCATAGCTAATTTTTCTGTTACTGCTGCTCCAAGTTCTTATTTCCATTAAAAATTTCTAACATAGTTTAATATAGGATAACTTAACAAAACTTAACCTAAATTTACTCTGGAATTTCGAACACCCAGAAATGAACGGAGAACAATTTGGCAAAAAAAAAAAAAAAAAAAAAAAAGATACAAGCTCGAATTGACTCTCGAAGAGATTGACTCTCCAACTTATTTTTCTCTCCCTCGATTCCACAATTCTTTTCTCAATACGTTCAGAAAAATGTTCTCCACCATCTCTCTCAATATCAGTTTTTCCTCAACACGCTCGGAAACCTAATCTTTTTCACCACCACCTCCGCCACCAGTTCTCTGAATTCCAAAAGCTTTCCTCAACACGCGTATAAACCTAATCTTCTCCACAGCCACGTCTCTCTACGATTTGTTTTTCGTCTCTCTACGATTTGTTTTTCCTCATCATTCAGAAACCTAATTTTCAACATAAGATCTTCCTCTTAATTTCACTGCCACCTGTCTCCCTCAGTGTCATATTTTTTTACTCAAGCAGGATCAAAAACTTCCCTCTCAGTATAATCCTTAGATAATTATCATATAAACACTCCATCTGTGTTGTGATGCAGCCAACTTTCCTTCACTCTTGTCTTTCTCTCTACATAATCGAACTTCGGAGGTTTACACGATTTGCTTACGTTTCGGAGACCTAATACTGGTTTAGGATTATAATAATTACAGTGAAACGCTAAACTCATATATATATATATATATATATATATATATATATATATATATACATATATATATATATATATATATATATATATATATATATATATATATATATATATATATATATATATATAAATCACGTAACAAATAAGAACGTAAAGAAGGAACACTGCCACAGGCCTACTGGCCCATGCGAGGCAGGTCCAATCTCCTATTGGCTTAAGCCAACACCCTAACCTAGTCAGGTTAGGTCACATTCACTTAAGGAAGGAGCACGGCATCTGACCTAGTAGCACAAGCTAGTCAGGTCCAACTCACACCCACCCACACCCACTCATGCATTTATCTAACCTATTTTTAAAACTACACAACGTCATAGCTTCTATGACGGTACTCGGGAGTTTGTTTCACTCATCCACAACTCTGTTACCAAACAGGTGCTTTCCTATATCCTTCCTGAATCTGCGGCTGGCCGAGACTCGATCCCGCATCACCTTGTCACGCCCCATTTAAAGTATATATATGCAAATGGGTGTACTCACCTAATTGTGGTTGCAGGGGTCGATTCATAGCTCCTGGCCCCGCCTCTTCACTGGTCGCTACTGGTGTGTGTGTTTATGCTTGCATAAATGCGTTCAGTACATATTTATATATGCATGTACGTTTCTTCACTTGCGTAAGTATGCATATACATAAGTGTAAGAATATGCATGTATGTATACATGCATGTATATGCATACATTGTTGTATGTATTGTGCGTATACATTTACACTTTTGCATATGTATGTGAATTTGTGTATATAAATATGTACATTTGTATGTGTACTTATGTAACATGGTTTACGTGCCGCCAGCAGTAACAGCCGGACTGATCAGGACCTGATCCACCACAAGGCCTGGTCAAGGAAAGGGGCGCGGGTCGTTGATCCCCGAAACCCCCACCCCCTCCAAGTATACTCACCTAATTGTACTCGTTTGTGAGTGCAGGGATCGAGTCATAGCTCCTGGCCCCGCCTCTTCACTGGTCGCTACTAGGTCCACTATTTCCCTGCTCCATGAGCATTATCATACCTCTTCTTAATGTTCTGTATGGATCCTGCCTCCACTGCATCATTTTCCAGAATGTTCCACTTCCTGATAACTCTGACTTAAAAAGTACTTCCTAACATCTTCGTGACTCATCTAAGTTTTCATCTTCCAGATGTGACCTCTTGTTGCTGTGTCACATCTCTGAAACATCCTGTCCTTATCCACCCTGTCAATTCATCTCAGTATTTTATTTTGTTATAATGTCCTCAACTAACCCTCCTGTCTTCCAGTGTTGTCAGGTTGAGCTCCCTTAACCTCTCCTCATAGGACAAACACCTCAGTTTCGGGACTAGTCTTGTTGCAAACCTTTGCACTTCCTCTAATTTCTTGATGTGTTTGACCAGATGTGGGTTCCATACTTGTGCTGCAGTACGTGTGCATGTGTATTCATATGTATATTTAGACACATGTACAACATCTGGGTATCTTTATTGTAGACGTTTCGCCATCCAGTGGCTTTATCAATACAAATTCTAGGACATAACTGAAGACAGTTGAACTATATACAGAAGATGAGGTAATCAGTCCCTCAGCCTTGGAGTTGGTGTGGAGAGCACCGTGGTCGTGGAGATTCTGGAGCATAAGCAAGGAGGCCGACGCTTGTATACTAACGCCAGATGGAAAGGGACGTGCATACCTGTGTATGTGTGTCTTTCATTTATATCGCCACCACTAATATCATCCTCACCAGCAAAACTACTATCATTGTCTTATTTATGTAAATCTATAACCAATAAGAGTATAAGTCAGTCACTTGGCGCTACATGAGATTTTGAAGTCGATCAATAGATGCTCTTTAATTTATCTCGTGGAAATCGATTTCAGTAATAGTCTTTATAAAACTGAGAACAGAGCACCAGTACTTGTCAACTGCCTATGAATATCACCTAGTAATAAGCGATCGGTTAATATTTGAAGCTGACTGGATAACGTGTTCAGAAGTCGAGAACATGAACTATAGATGGGACAAAAAAGCAGACCTTAGTTGGGGTGAGAAAACTGTAGCAAACAAAGGGATGACTCTGACATTACGCCGTTCAGTATTTAAGGATTTATTCAACTTAAGAATTTAAAAAATTGCTGTAAAAGAGTTTTCAATTTCTCAATAAACTTCTTACAGTTTTATTTGTTTTAAAATTATTTATTGCACTGACAAATTTGTTCACACACAAACTGAATGGGTACTTTCCTGGAAGCAAAATGCATCAACAATTCAATGCTGAAGTTATTGAGAAAAAACAGTCGTATATTTTGTTTATGATTCAATAAACTGGAATCAAAATTTCATTCGATTTTACACATGAAGTGGTTAAATTTGCACCTACTCATTAGGAGGCACCTTTTCTTTTTAACGATTAAAGCTACACAGCTGAGAGTTTTTCAGGTTATCCATTCCATCCCAGGATGATGGGAATGATTTCAATAAATTTGGTCACGGGGCACGTGCAAGGTATTCCTAGAATTTGGTGCTCGTTCCCGTACACAACAATTTAAAATTTTAATATCATCGTATGAGGGTTTCTTGAGTTACGAGCAAAATAAAATCGAAAAGGAGGAAGAAAAATAGAAAAAAAGATCAGGATACCTAACAAGGCTCCTCTGCTTGTTAAGATAAGATAAGATAAGATTTCGTTCGGATTTTTAACCCCGGAGGATTAGCCACCCAGGATAACCCAAGAAAGTCAGTGCGTCATCGAGGACTGTCTAACTTATTTCCATTGGGGTCCTTAATCTTGTCCCCCAGGATGCGACCCACACCAGTCGACTAACACCCAGGTACCTATTTGCTGCTAGGTGAACAGGACAACAGGTGTAAGGAAACGTGTCGAATGTTTCCACCCGCCGGGAATCGAACCCGGGCCCTCCGTGTGTGAAGCGGGAGCTTTAGCCACCAGGCCACCGGGCCCATTGCTAAACAATATCTCGTATTATTATTATTATTATTAATTATTATTATTATTATTATCCTCGTCTCAGCCACAAACTGTGACTTATATTCTACAGGAGGTTCCTTTCTCTACCCTTACAGCTACGTCGCTGCTGGCTAGCGTGTTGACGCTGACTATGATTAGTGTGGGCAGGTTCGTGGCTGTCATGTTCCCGCTGCAGGCCCGCACCTCGCCCAGCCGTGCACAACAGGTCATCATAGCCGTGTGGATCACCTCACTCCTGCTCGCCTGCCCTACGCTCTTCTACAGGAAAGCTTACAGTGTGAAGGTGAGACTACTGTGGGTTATTTATTGTGCAGGTGTTGTGGTGAGCGTATTAAGCTCGGATAGCAATACACTGATAGTTATTCAGGCCTCCACCTCTTAATAGACTGAATCAGCTACAAGGAATTAGCACTTACCATCAAGTAGTAGTATGGACATTATCTCAGATGTATGGAACTAGCTAATTTTCTTAGTAAACAATCTACAAAGAAAATAGAAACAACATTGTTAGCCATCATTAGGTCGTCAACTCTAACCTTCCATACCGACATTGCCTTGATTATGATCTAACCACTCAAGGACTCAAGGGACTGTCGATGCATTCTAAACGAAATATAATTTAAGTTCACTCTTGCAACTTTCTTAAAGATATCCAATACATATTTTTTCAAATATTTAATTCTAAAATCTAATTGCCATTTGCAACTTTTCATAATTCCATTCTGGAGTCATGAGTTTCATGAGACATAAGCATAAATAACAAAAGGCACAATACCGTGACTGGAACGATACACAAAAAACCCGCACATAAAAGAGAGAAGCTTACGACGACGTTTCGGTCCGACTTGGACCATTGACAAAGTCACACTAACAGAGGTGGAGCAGGACGGCTATATATAGGCAGGAAGAGGTGGAGGTAGTAGTAGTAGTAGTAGTAGTAGTACAAGAATTGTATATAATACCGACAGGATGAAATGACACATGCACAACACCCGGGCATCCCCATCGTAGACGTTTCGCCATCCAGCCAGCCACTGGATGGCGAAACGTCCACAACAAAGACAACCAGACGCCACACATGTGTCTTAATTTCATCAGTAGTTGTAGTAGAAGAAGAAGAGGTAGTATATCTATATATCTATATATTTAAATTGCTATGATAATTGGAAAGGGTTTCACTCATTCTATTCTCAGCAAATAACTGGAGGTAAACACTTGCGTCTTGCTTTCCAGTTATTATAATGACTGAAAATGGCTAAATTCTAAGGGCCATTTACGTTTCAGTTCCTTAAATGTGCAAAGTGTTAGTTAATAGATGCCAAGTTTTTGTTCATAAATTTTATATTGACGTGGAAGCACAATTCCCTAGGAGTCACACAGCACTTGTGAAATTGAAGGCGGTCAGGTTTGATTCAAGGAATGGAAGGGTAACTTCAGTTCCTAGGATCAAGAGCCATTTACAAGAATCAAGCCACGCCTTCCCCACCGTCTTCCTTTAAGAGTCTCATTTTTTCAGTTCACACATTAATAAATTATTAATGTAGTATGTTGTATTAATATTGGTAGAATTACCGACAATATATTAGATAAAAGGGCACAAGTGCAACTAATGTGACATTTTATTGTGGCAACGTTTCGCTCTCCAGGAGCTTCATTAAGCGAACGGTTTGATTAAAATCATGGGGAGCGAAACGTTGCCACAATAAAATGTCGCATTAGTTGCACCTGTGTCTTTTTACCTAACAAGTAGTAGGTTGGTAGACAGCAACCACCCAGGGAGGTACTACCGTCCTGCCAAGTGATTGTAAAACAGAATCCTGTAATTGTTTTACATGATGGTAGGATTGTTGGTGCCTTTTTTTTCTGTCTCATGAACATGCAACATTTCAGGTACGTCTTGCTACTTCTACTTACACTTAGGTCACACTACACATACATGTACAAGCATATATATACACACCCCTCTGGGTTTTCTTCCATTTTCTTACTAATTCTTGTTCTTGTTTATTTCCTCTTATCTCCATGAGGAAGTGGAACAAAATTCTTCCTCCGTAAGCCATGCGTGTTGTAAGAGGCAACTGAAATGCTGGGAGCAAGGGACTAGTAACCCTTTCTCCTATATACATTAGTAAATTTTAAAAGATAAACCTTAGTTTTCCCTTTTAGGTCACCCTGCCTCGGTGGGATACGGCCAGGTAGTTTAAAAAAAAAAATATTAAGGGATTTGATTTCATTGAGGAAAATTCATAATTTTTTCCCTAAACAGAGGAAAATGTTCCACACTGAAACTCTGTTCTGCATCTGTGTGCTTTTTTCATCCATTCGCAGAAGCCGCTCTGCCACTGAATGAAATTCCTCTGACAACCTTGCGCTTCCAATCTTTAAATTCCAGAGACGCTTTAGGTATAGTCAGGAAATTCATGACCTCTAAGAAGGCTTACTTTGTGTTTATTATGACTCTCGGATGTGAATACCTGGCCACGATACTATTAGATTATTTTGTAAATATATCAGCAGATATATCATATGCGTTTTAGGTTCTCTACAATTGAATACGAACAAATGTGCTTTAGAATGTCGTGTCTGCACATTAAAAATTTAGTGAAGATTTTTCTGTTCTAAGTGTCAGTTTAAGAGTGATGTACACATCTGACAAGACAGAATAAGTAATGCTATATGTTTTCCGGTTCGGGTCACTCTACCTCACTGGGAAACAGCAGATATATAAAAAATAAACTTTAGCTAGGTCATTTTCTCTTAAATTTATCAGATGTTTAATTAATACTGCTCCAGAATAATCAACTCCGACCGCTTTGAACGGCATACTTTCGATTACCTTCTTCTGATAACTGGGGAAGATGGCTCCGAATAACGTACTACCGACAATATTATAGAAACGACAAAAGATGAAGAACAAGCCTTTACTGGGACGACACTTGCCCTAAGTTTGAGCTTCATTAAGTCATCAGTTATTCTGCAGCCCAAATCTTTTCTTCTGTGCTGATACTGAGTGAGCTCTCATACTGGTCAGACATTGTATCTGATGGACCATTGACTTCGCCACGTAGTGTCTTTATATTTGCATCTCGTATATTATAAGCAACTCGAATCCTTCAAAAAGATGGGATCTTTGTATGCTTTATCTGCTTCAAAATATATTATCATTCTCATAAAAAACCCAATTTCGGCACGAATTGGTTGGAGCCGAGGAATGCTGGTGTTCCTGACCCAGCGTCTCGCCTGGCTAATCAGCAACACATTGCTAATATTCTCACATATGGTTGACAAACTTCATTAACCTATCTAAGTAATCCATCTTGTGTGATTGGATGCGAAAAATGAAACCCACTTAGCTTGAGGTCCAGCTATGTAACTCTCGTAAATATGAAATACACTACCAAATATGTCATGTCATGTTTCGAATCATATTTCTAATCCAGTAATGCAGACTAATGCCATAAAGAAGTATCCTTTCTTATTAACGTACATTAATATATGAGTGAATTTTAAGAAAATTAGCCACCATTATTAACGAAAATAGTAGTAGCTAGACGGTTACCTTCTCCAAGGATACACAATATGTTATAATTTTTCATATTGTTCTATCGAATTGATAAAGTTCCCTTGTGGGTGAAGCGTAAAAGTAAAAACTTCACTTTATTAATTGTCTAATTATCACTTCTAGAAGTTAGGCAATTAATAAACATACAATGAAAACAGATATAAATCTTCGATTTATTTTTAGCAGACAGCGGATATAGTTGTGAAGTTTCAAGAGCTAGAAAAAGTACTTTCCGACCTGCTTTGAGGCTTATGGTATCCAGTTGCCACAAATAATGCACTGGTGGGTTTGAAGGAAGATTATCCACGTTACCTGTCAGGGAGATTACTTGTTGGCAGGCAGTCAGGGAGATTACTTCAGACGCAACCTCTTCATCCGTATATTTCATCCACTCTGAGCTAAAATATATTATTTACTCTACATTTCCAATGACGTAAGAAGCTACATCACAATAGTGGATCATTTACATACAGAATGCAACTAATGTGAACAACCTCTAATGTAATAGAGGGAATAAATCTTATATTTTGTCAACCGGTGTCACAGAACATTCCAGAATGTTCAGGAAATACCCTCAGTGTCAATTAGTATGCCGGTGTGAAATAAAATATTCAGGCTTTTGTTTCTTATAACAACTGGGCAATGTCCTCGGATCACGATAAAGCACCTAGCTCGGCTGGGTGCATGATCTTTGTAGGATTTGGTGGTCCTGTGGGTTAGAGCGTCGTAAATTTTCTCTCGCCATGAGACGGGCTAAAAAAGACGCGGGTTCGAGTCCTCGGCTAGTCGCAGTGTTGTTATTGATTAAATACAGTGGTTATTTTGCTTATACACATATGTTTATGCCTACATATGTACACAAGATTGTAAAACGCTTTTCTCCTTAAATAGTGGCTCGACTACACAACGTGGCATTGTGATGAGATATGGCCGACGGAGATGGAGTACGACCCAAGCACGGGCCATAATATCGTCACTTTTGATACCAAGAAGCTGTTCTACACGGTGCTCATCATTGCTTTTTACTTCCTTCCTGTCGGCATCATGTTCATTAACTACAGGTGAGTAATTATAGTCAAACTTTAAGTCGTTAATGACTCATATTTTGCAGTACTTTTTAAAGTACTAATTAGAAAGCGCCAAACCCACTGGGAGTTATACTTGCATATTTATCATTTAGTGGGCAACTTAACGTCTACTGAAATAGATATACCTGAGAAAAGGATATCTGTTTCAAGGTTTCTGTTCGATAACATTAAAATGCCTTTTCCGATTAGTTTCAAACTTAAAGTGTATATATTCGTACTTTAAATAAGGTTCGGATTGTTATTGGACTTTTTAAGTGCCAATTTATTAATAAAATTAGCGTTCTACTTCCCGTGTAATATCTTGAGAATGCCATTTCTGATTGGCTCCAAACAATCATAGTTGGTATATCCTACATGTAGATTATTATTATTATTATAATCAAGGGGGAAGCGCTAAACCCGGAGGATTATACAGCGCCTGGGGGGATGTGGAAGGCATTCAGGCTTAATTCGGGGAACTGGAGCACAGACCCAATTCCCTAAATCAAGAGCCCCTCACCAACATCAAGGAACCTTGGAAATATAAACACAAATGCAGTATAATGTGATCCGTTATTGACAACGTTTCACCCACACAGTGGGCTTTTTCAAATCACACACGGATCTACCTGGGGTTGGAAGGTACGGGAGTATTTATAGTTCAGAATGTTGAGGTCAGGTGGAGAATGCTGCATCTGATGATCTACCGGGTGGGGTTATAGAGTCTTGGGTAGCTAGGCGGGGTGAAACGTTGTCAATAAAGGATCACATTATACTGCATTTGTGTTTGTATTTCCATTGTGTCGGTATTTTATACCATTTATTTCCATCAAGGAACCTTCCTTGAGGGGTACTACATGTAGAAAGTTTTGAATTGTTACTAGGCTCTGAAGATGCCAAGCCATTAGTTTTATTTATAAAAATTGATTAACTGTATGAGAGAACCTCCTAATGCCTTTCCTTGATCGTCGTTGGTACAAGAAAACCTGACTTGTTTTGGGATGTGTTGGGAATACATTTCTTCATACTCTCAGTCATGATATAACAATAAAGGTGCGGATTAATATTAAACTTTATTGGTTCTACTTTCTCATTTTCGGCTTAAGGTTATTTGGAATAACTGGGTGGCTGGAGTTATGGGAGAATACCTCTCTTGGAGACTACAGTGAGCGAAACACACCTAGTTTTGTAATGTTTCAAACTTTCTTTTAAGGTTTATTTAGTGTTTATGAAATAATAAACATCATGCTGAGGAATCCATTTTTATTTTCTATTTTTTTCAATATCATATTAGTTCAGAAAAATGAAATTTATGGATGCCAGTACTGCCTAATTGAAGATTTTGCTTTCTTGCATTTACGAAGCACTTGAATTGCTTGGTTATTTGGCACTATATACATAAAATGGTTTTAACATTTTCCAATTATCACTATCTTTATCACTTATTGTTTTTGTGACCAACTCACTGTGAAGTTTGAAACTGCTGATCACAAGGAAGTAAATATAAACGAGTTCATTAATTTTTACAGTCCTCTATCTGCATCCTTAATTCGTTGTGCCATAGTCGGTTAATTTAGACAGATGGAAAAAACAAAATCAGAGAGGCTGCTTTCTTAATAAAAAAAATGAAAATTGCAATCACCCTTGTATGGCTTATTAGGTTTAATGATGAAAATCGACTGCATAATGGTCATGAAGTTTGCTTTTCACTTTCCAGTAAAGAACTAATTGATCCCTAAAATACGTATTTAAGTAAACTCATGGAGTATGTGCTGAGAATAATATATTCATGGAAAAGACCTAAATCTGAAGAGGTCATACAGCATCTGGGAAATGGGAATCATTCATGTGTTATCTGAGCAAGAGGAGAAACAGTTCCTATTACTTGCATGATGATCCCTGTGCCATTAAGAAACCTTCCTCATCTTCTCTACCACTGCAGAGATACAGTGAAAGACATACCGATCTCTTGGTGTATATAATCTGCATACCCTGGGGAGTGGCGAGCAGGTTCCCAGAGGATCTCGGGGGATGTCTGAGTCAAAACATTTCGCTTGCTGAAGAGTATAAGGTATCTGAAAGTGTACAGGTCACAAGTGTTATTAACTCTAGCCAATTCAGCTTTGGAATTTCTAAAAAAGATACCCTGGGACTGGCATTCTCTAACTTCATTGATACACTGGCCAACAAACCATTTTATTAAAGAAAATTTTGGTACTAGTTTCAATATAGCACTGTGTGATAATCTGTTACTATGAATCGAGCAATGGGGAGGATGCATTAAATATATGTATACATGTATATATATATATATATATATATATATATATATATATATATATATATATATATATATATATATATATATTTAGTAGTAGTAGGTTGGTAGACAGCAACCACCCAGGGAGGTACTACCGTCCTGCCAAGTGAGTGTAAAACCAAAGCCTGTAAATTGTTTTACATGATGGTAGGATTGCTGGTGTCTTTTGTCTGTCTCATAAATATGCAAGATTACAGGTACGTCTTGCTACTTCTACTTACACTTAGGTCACACTACACATACATGTACATGTTTATTTATACACACTCATCTGAGTTTTCTTTTATTTTATCTTAGTTCTTGTTCTAATTACTTTTTCTTTTATATCCATGGGGAAGTGGAATAAGAATCTTTCCTCCGTAAGCCATGTGTGTTGTAAAAGTCAACTAAAATGCCGGGAACAATGGGCTAGTAACCCCTTTTCCTGTAAAAAATAGTAAAAAGAATAAGAAGAAGAAAACTGTCAAAGTGGGAAGTTTGAATGTGCGTGGATGTTGTGCGAATGATAAGAAAGAGATGATTGTGGATGTTATGAATGAGAAGAAGCTGGATATCCTGGCTTTAAGTGAAACAAAGCTGAAGGGGGTGGGTGAGTTTCAGTGGAGAGGAATAAATGGGATTAGGTCAGGGGTTTCTAATAGAGTTAGAGCTAAAGAAGGAGTAGCAATAATGTTGAAGGATAAGCTATGGCAGGAAAAGAGGGACTATAAATGTATTAATTCAAGGATTATGTGGATTAAAATAAAGGTTGGATGTGAGAAGTGGGTTATAGTAAGCGTTTATGCACCTGGGAAAGAGAGAAGTATAGAGGAGAGAGAGAGATTTTGAGAAATGTTGAGTGAATGCGTGGGGAGTTTTGAACCAAGTGTGAGAGTACTTGTGGTTGGGGATTTTAATGCTAAAGTGGGAAAAAATGTTGTGAAGGGAGTAGTAGCTAAATTTTGGGTGTCCGGGGTAAATGAAAATGGGGAGCCTTTAATTGAGCTATGTGTAGAAAGAGGTTTGGTAATAAGTAATACATATTTTATGAAAAAGAGGATAAATAAATATACAAGGTATGATGTAGCACGTAATGAAAGTAGTTTGTTAGATTATGTATTGGTGGATAAAAGGTTGATGAGTAGGCTCCAGGATGTACACATTTATAGAGGAGCAACTGATAAATCGGATCTTTATCTAGTTGTAGCTACAATTAGAGTAAGAGGTAGATGGGATAAGAGGAAAATGACAACAACAAGTAAGAGGGAGGTGAAGTGTATAAACTAAGGGAGGAGGAAGTTCGGGTGAAATATAAGCAACTATTGGCAGAAAGGTGGACTGGTGCAGGTATGAGTAGTGGGGGGTTGAAGAGGGTTGGAATAGTTTTAAAAATGCAGATTAGAAAGTTGGGCAGAAGTTTGTGGTTATAGGTGGGTGGGTGCAGGAGGATAGAGGAGTGACTGGTGGAATGATAAAGTAAAGGGTGTGATAAAAAAGAAAAAGGTAGCTTATGAGAGGTATTTACAAAGCGGAAGTGTTATAAGAAGAGTAGAGTATATGGAGAGTAAAAGAAAGGTGGAGAGAGTGGTGAGAGAGTGCAAAAGGAGAGCGGATGATAGAGTGGGAGAGGTACTGTCAAGGAATTTTAATGAAAATAAGAAAAAATTTGGAGTGAGTTAAACAAGTTAAGAAAGCCTAAGGATCAAATGGATTTATCAGTTAAAAACAGAGAAGGGGAGTTAGTAGATGGGGAGATGGAGGTTTTGGGTAGATGGCGAAAATATTTTGAGGAACTTTTAAATGTTGATGAAGAAAGGGAGGCGGTAATTTCATGCACTGGCCAAAAATGTGCCACTCCTCGGTCCTCCAGAAGCAGTGTTACAACATCGACTGCCCTGCATACCATCTAAAAGGGACCAGGAGGCACAGACCCCACAAGACAAACAATAGTAGCTACGACAACCCAACTCCAGGTGATCTTTTAGTGGCAGGAAACGGAAAAAGAAAATGGAAGGAAATAACAAAAATAGTCCACCACCTCGGAGCCTTGATGGACTGGAGGCGCAGCCAGTGGCCACCCATGGCCCTCCAGAATTACAACTACTGATGCCAATAACAAAATCCCCCCAACAAACACAGAATACAACCTCGTTCATATTTGCTAATATACAGGGCCTTAAGCTATCCACCAACAACAAAATACCTTTTATCAGTGGACTTCTAGAGGAGTCTAATGCAATGTTTGCAGCCTTCACAGAGACTCACACAAAAGATCACTTTGACAGTGAAATATGGATAAGTGGTTACAACCTTTTTAGATGCGACAGAAAAAAACAGGCAACAAGGGGGGGTTGGCCTGTATGTCAAAGAGTCCCTTATCTGCACGGAGTTGCTGAACACCACAAATGAGGTAGTTGAAGTTCTATCAATAAAGATCGAGAACCAAAACCTAGTCATTGTGGTTGTATATAAGCCACCAGATGCAACCTCACAACAGTTCAAGGAACAGCTACTGAAAATTGATTACTGTTTGGAAAACCTTCCAGCTCCATCCCCAAACATCTTACTGCTTGGTGATTTCAACCTAAGGCATACAAAATGGAAGAATGTAGCAAATAATGTTATAGCTGAAACAATCACCAGAGGTAGCGCAGATGAAAGGTCACACACACATGAGCTACTAAGTCTCTGCAAA